TTCCCATGAATTTTCTCAAAATCTCGATTGGATTCAAAAGCTGGTGTAGTGGCTTGATGAATAGCTTTCTCAGAACTTTTGTCTTTCGTCCTGGTTCTTTCTTCATTATGAGGGTTAGTCGAAGATTCGGAAAGTAGTGTCAAAGTGTAGGGTTTCTGGAGGAGACTAATCGGGTATAACTACATTCGGCGTGTCGTATGTTTCGACGTATCTTAGAGTGTGCTTAGAAAGGAACTATTGGAACACTGACAGAAACGAAAATTCAGTCCAGCACTCGGCTCTTACAGTAATCCGTCACGTGTTAATAGGCAAATTTTTAAACGTCACATATACGGCGCGTTGAAAAGGGGCTTTGGGCAAGGACACAGGGCTGGGCGGTGGGGTAAGTCAGGGGTTACTGTAAGAGCCGAGTGCCGGACTGAATTTTCGTTTCTGTGGAACACTGTAAAGAAGGAAGGTTGCATCAGTTTCGGATTGCACCAAGATTTTCAATGTGTTACGTTCCACATTATGTAATGATACAATTTTTTTTTTCTTAAGACCAATGAAGGGCCAGTCTTGTCTTTGATTATGCAATTAACACAGCCTTGAAGGTGCCTCCTGACGTTATTTTTCATCTCTTTACAAATTGAATTGTTAAGATCGTCCACGCCGTAAAGATTGGACGGAAAGAAAAAGCTTGAGTCAAGGTGCCAAAGCCGATGGAGAGAGCANAATCCGTCACGTGTTAATAGGCAAATTTTTAAACGTCACATATACGGCGCGTTGAAAAGTGGCTTTGGGCAAGGACACAGGGCTGGGCGGTGGGGTAAGTCAGGGGTTACTGTAAGAGCCGAGTGCCGGACTGAATTTTCGTTTCTGTGGAACACTGTAAAGAAGGAAGGTTGCATCAGTTTCGGATTGCACCAAGGTTTTCAATGTGTTACGTTCCACATTATGTAATGATACAATTTTTTTTTCTTAAGACCAATGAAGGGCCAGTCTTGTCTTTGATTATGCAATTAACACAGCCTTGAAGGTGCCTCCTGACGTTATTTTTCATCTCTTTACAAATAAAATTGTTAAGATCGTCCACGCCGTAAAGATTGGACGGAAAGAAAAAGCTTGAGTCAAGGTGCCAAAGCCGATGGAGAGAGCAGGAGCAGTCATCATAATAAAGACAAGGACAACAATCAGGCATCTAAGAGGACAAGAAGCACAAACTGTGAGAAATTTCTATCATCGTTTGTTCATAAATTTGCAAGCAACCACGTTACTGGAGTATTTATTATAATTGAAGGATCACTAACTGCAGTAGGCTGTTTCTCGCAGGGAACATTCGAAGAGTATCCGTAAAGTTCGTTAGCTCTTTTTTTATTTCCACTGGTTTCCTATTAGGTGGCAGAACTCTGCCACGATTCCCATGTTACGGGTACTTGTTGTTTATTTATGCCGATTTTGCATAGCAACACTGACTGATCGCTAAGCCATGTGTTTTTGTTTTCTAATGCATTTTTAACGGTTATCGTCGGGCACGTGATATATCCCATCAGCATGGTCTATGAACACACGTGAACGTTTTTTAGAAAACCTCGATTCTTCCTAGAATGCATTCAAATATTGGCGACAAATTTTCTGTAGAGAAAACCATCCTATTATTCATAAGTCTCGCGAGGATTACCATAGGACGCGAATTCGATGCATTTTTTACACCAACGACCGTCACCTGCTCTAAGCCATGTTTTCTGAAAGCTCCTTTCCATGGGTTTCCTTCTATTTTTTCCGAGTTTTCTTTTCAATATGTTAATTTTTTCGTTTGCGTATGTGGGTTTATAATCGAAAGAACTCGTTCTACTCAAACTCACTTAATCATAAGCAGTGAGCTCTTCTTTTTTCGCGAAACCCGTTTTCGATGAGGCCGGAAAGAACTTGATTTTTACATCAACGCCGCAAAAATTGAAGTGTTCGTTCCGATTGGTTAGAGCATGACATTGTACTCTTGCTGATGTTGGTAAGACAGTTTGTTAACAAATTAGCTGTCTATCCGCGATGCTTTAAAGCTCATAGAGATTCTCTCATTTGTAAGAAAGGTAGATGATATATTGGGTTGTCCGAAAAGTTTCCGCCGATTTTTGACACCCTGGATTTGTCAACCGTTGTACAAAAGATCAAGGACCCAACCTAATAAAGTTATGTTTTCTGAAAGAGTAGATCCTCCTCTATATTCCTGTCAGGATTCTGTCAACATTTGTCGAAGTTTTTCTGTACAGGACTCGTATGAAAATGGAGAACCACTGCGCGTATTTTCGACATCTGTA